TGATTCAGTGACTGGGCTTATGGGGGTAGGTGTGTCAGAGACAGTGAGATTGACACAGTATAGAGCAGGGTTTAGGGATGTTAAACATAGGGTCACTGTAAGTTGCAGGTGTCTCAACAGCACATAATGACAACAACAACATATTGAGAAGCATGGTTGCTATATATTGTTGCACTTGCTGATTAGTCAATATGAGAGACTAGACACTAACATAAACTCTCAGCTAATAAAAAAGGGGAGAAATCATAGTTCCCGTAAGATGCACATTGGACAATGCTCCAAATAAATAAATTCTTTGAACGAACTGCTTGAGACAGCTGGCAAATATTAGGGATTGTTAAAAGCATCAGCTTTATGAAACACATCACAGACATCACTGGAGTCTGGGAGGAAGTGAGAATTATACCAAGAGTAGCTGGAAGAAACTACAGCTAGAAGCTTTCATGATTTCAAGGGAGTGCTTGCTAATATACCATGGCAGGAACATCTCTCCACAGGGAATATGCTAAAATGAGCCCATACTGACTGATTCCATTTATATTACTATATCTCCCATTTGAAGGACAGCATTCTTGAACCCCACAATTCTAAATGCAGTATACTTAACATGCATCAGTGTCTCTTGCAAAATCCCACATTAAAATCTAGCGCATTGTATTCCACTGTGTCATAAAACAGTATTACATTGGGAAAGAACAGTTTAAAAGCAATATATGTTAGGGTATTATGGTTATCACAAGAGTCCAGAATTAAGGTTGCATAGTGGAGTGTACTCGGGGCGGCGGTGGGGGGGGGGGGGGGGGAATTACACACCAATGAAGGAATTTTTCTTTTACTTTTCAAAGAGAGGACTGAACTGGGGGTAGGGGTGGGTAGGGAGAAAAGTGAAACAATGAATGAATGGAAATCCAAAATCTCTGTAAATTTTCATTAAAATTAATAAAATTTAATTAAAAAAATAAGAACAAATTAAAAAAAAAGAGTTAGGTACTAATTGAGACCATGCATATAAAAACCTATAAAATACAAAACAAGCATCAACATTTGGGATGCATTCTCTAACAAATTTATTTGGTAGCATGAGATGACATATTCTTCCCTGAATGTACATTATAGAATGTATTTACAAATTGAGACTTTGAGCTACAATTTTAACAATTTTAATAAAAATTTTTAAATATTGGAATACCTGAGAATGATGTTCTAAATCTAGCCAATGCTCTTTCTTAATTCTATATCCCAGGATAAAAAGAAAATAACCAGATTTTAAAAGTTGAAGGAACCAATTCTTTCAAACTTTCAATAATCAGATAATTTCTATAATAGAAACTATTTAAGATTATTCAAATGTATGGAAAAATACCTATTCATCTTCTAAAACTCTTTTAACTCTGATATAAAAATGTATATAAGAAAACAAATTCAAATAAACTCACTGTCATCAAATCGGAATTGACTGATAGCTAACCCTATAGTAGATGTCCAAAGCCTGTAAATTGCACAAGAGGAGATTAGCCATCTTTCTCCCTCAGAACTCTGGTGAATTAAATTGTCTATCTCTGGGTTAGCTCACCTTTCTACCACTAGGACACCGGAGATCCCTTATAAAAGAAATGAACTATTTTATAGTGTTGTTTTGCACAGTTCAGTCAAAATCTCGAAAAGTCTACTTTATATAGTGCTGTCTCATACAGTCTACATAAGTGTAGCCCAAAGATGAGGTGCACTGGCAGTTTATTGTCAGGAACTGCACTAGAGTACAAAAGAGCAATGATATTAGTTTAAAGACTAAGGTGCACCTGATCCAAGCCATGGTCCTTTCAATCACTTGTTATGTATCTGAAACCTGTACAATGAAGAAGGATGACAGAAGAAGAATCAATACCTTTGAATTGTGGTGCTGGAGAAGGATATTGAAAATCTCGTGGCCCACCAATAGAACAAACAGGTCTGTCTAAAAGAAAGCACAATTAGAGTGCTCTTTGGAGGCAAGGATGGTAAAACTTCATTTCACATACTTTGAGCATGTTGGTCAGTCCTTGGAGAAGGTAGAGGGTCAACATAAGAGAGAGAGAGACACTCAGAAAGATGGGTTTACATGTTGACTTTCATAATGGGTTCAAGATTGTTGGAAATTGGAAGAATAGCACTAGAGAGGGCAGGGTTCATTTGTATTGTTCATATGATCAGTATGAGTGTCTGCCAACTAGTGGGCACATAACAACCTTGTATGTTGTTATTGTTATGTGGTATTGAGCAACCCCATGTACAATAGCTCTGAACTCTGTCCTATCCTGAGCCAGTCTCACTGACACTGACACACTTACCCCATTACTCCAGTTACTGTGTCAATCCATCTCATCCAGGGTCTTCCTTTCCTGTGCTGTCCTCCCACCCTTCCAAACATAATGTCTTTCTCCAAGGAATGGTTCCTCCTGGTTGTGTGCCCAAAGTATGTGAGATAAAGCTTCAAACTCTTTGCCTGCAAGGAGAAACTTGGTTTCATCCTCTCAAAGACAGGCCTGTTTGTTC